AGGGAAAGATGAAAAAGCTAAAGCATGAGCAGTAGATTACACTTTTCCTGCTTTATTCAGCCCTTCTGATACCAACAGAACAACTAAGTGTTAAAACTCCATAGAAAGAAAACCTGCTGAAAACACAAAAGCAGTGTACCTATGAGCAAGAAGCATCTGAAATCGGGTAAATCCTCCTGACAGGAAAGACTTATAGAACACCAAAGATTGTTCTTTTGGCCAGAGATTACAAAGACCTGATGGACACAATCCCAAAATTCCAACATGACAAGAAGGGTCCATGGCTGGATTCAAAAAACCCACAGCTGCATTTAATCAAACACTCCTTAAGGCAGTTCCAAAGAACAAGATGCAGTTTTTAAGCAGCAACATTTGCCTCACCCGGGCACACTCGCCCTTCCCAAAAATCTGCGGGATGGTTCCGTAGAGAGCCTGCAGCGTCATCAGCCCCTTTGCCGCATGGTACAGGCTTGTCTGGTCGCTCTCCAGGTAACATTCCTAAACAACAAGAAGGATTCCCGATGGAAGGTGTCAATCCAACACAGCTGCTTCCACAGCAGAACATGGTCCACGTGAACAGTTCAGAGAAGACACAGGCTGGGGAAAAGCTATGCTGTTGGAAAATATGGACCTTATCTATGCTGTCAGTACATCAAATCATTTGATCAGATCAGACACTCTTAATATTTCTGAACTGCACACGCTACTCCCAGTTTGATGGAGAGGCGCAAGAGAGCCAGAAAGTAACTGCAGCCTCTCCCTCTATCAGGCCAATTTGAGAGCACAACACCTCAGCACAGCTGCCAACAAGCAGCTGCAGGCCCTAACACGTCCTCTGGGCTACGCATAATAAGGCAGAGATGGCCAAAGAAACCCCCAATCCTTTCTGTCCTGAGAACACATCCTGTGTTCTACATACACAGCTGGTACGTGACAGTTATTAATTGTTGGTGCAGCTTAGCGCGCAGTATTAACCATTGTACACGGCTCTGTGGTTGCATATTGACACAAACTGTGCTGGCTCTTTGTAACGACTAAGTATTGTACGCCTCATGAATGCTCGATTTGTGAAAATAACACCAGTAGTTAAAGCTGGAGGAAGTGGGGTGCAGCTTGGGGTAGTGATTGTTCCTTCAGCATTTAGTCAGAAAGCACACAGAGAAGTTCAGGCTCAGGATCAAGCCACATTTGTTCTGCAAAGCCTTTCCCAGCTGTGCTGGTCACTGACAAACCCTCTGAGAGCCTCCACACCAAACACCATCAGCCAACACAAAAATGGACAGCATTTTCCCTCAAAGACAAGATAAGCGCTTACCTTGAATGCGCTCTCAGACTCCATGGAGAGCAGGTCCCCATCGAAGGGTATCAAGTCCAGGCTGTACTGCTCTCGGTGGATGAAGGACCCCAGCACGCCCTGCTCTTTCAGCCACTGCTCGCAGAGCAGGCTGCGGCGCGGCACGAAGAGGATGTGGAAGTCCCTCTGGGGAGAGCGGCCTCTGTCTTCCCTGGAAGAGTCACAGGCAGGAGCACAGCAAACGGTAACTCAGCTGCGCACGTAACCAGCACAGACCGTGGGCTGGGGACACTGAATTCAAAGGAAATAGGAACGCTGCACTTGGTTATTGTTGCCAACTTCCATTCCTAACCTTGTATTTCAGGATGTTTTTTACGCATCCACAGCCACAGGTCTGAAACCTGGGCAAGGTGACTTGGTTTCCCTGCAGTTCTCAGAAGGAGGCTCAATCAAAGCACGACTCATTGCAGTTAATTAGAAGGAACGCCCATCTTCTTAATGAGGAACATACCCTTCTGCATTACCAGCCAAAGTGAACACCCCCTTCCTTCCCAGGGTGCCTCGCACCCCGACCTGAGCCCCAGAAGTGGCTGTGCAGTGTCTGTGCTGCACATAGTTCCCCATTTCGAGCCCAGATGTGACAAACATCATGGCAGCTTCAGGCCAAACCTGTCCCCTCGCAGGACAGACTCTGCCAGCCCAAGCCGCCTCCCAAGAGGAGAGCCATGAGCTGACCCCTTGCACCCGCCGTACCGGAGCACGTTGTCCGTGATGATGTCCATCAGCTCCAGCTTGGGCCTGACGAAGAAGATGATGTTCTTGACGTCCGCCTGTGGCAGGCGCCCTGGCTTGAGCGTGAACATCTTTTCCACCTCATGTTCCTGTGTGGAGGCGAGGGCATTAGCTAACCGCGGGGACCACCGATGACAAGGCCCGGCAGCGGAGGGACCGCCACCCCCCCGGCCCCGGCG